AAATAAATAAATAAATAAAAGAAAATGTCTAACAGACTGAGACATATATTCAGGAGACCAAAGAAAAAGCAGAGGCTGAAAACATACATTTGGAAACTGTCAGTGTAATGAATAGGAAACCAATGCGAACAGAAGGTATAACATAGGACAGAATAGAAAAGAGAGGCAGCATTAAAATGGAACCAAGAAACATTTAAAGAATAAAAAGAAATGAGCGGACAAAGATTGCAAAATGCCCTTAAGAAAAAAGCAGCACGAGTGGTGAGGTGTCACAGACACAAGGAGAAAGGTCTCGAGGAGGCCCTGGTCCATGTAAGAAGATGAACAGAAAAAGTGCTGCTTGGATTTAGTGACATGCAGGTATCGTTAGAGAGCATAGAAAAGAACCAATCTGGTACCACAATGGGACCAAAAACAAGACTGGAATGGACTGAAACCTGAATGGAAAATAAACAAATGGAAATGGTCTAGTTCTGAAGGGGAAACAAGTTAAAGCTACAGCTAAAGAACAGAAGAATGGGGGCATGTTGCTTGATTTTTATTTTAATTTTATTTATTTTTTAATGAGCAAAGAGCCAAAGACTAGGCAAAACCTGAAGGTAGAAGGAATGACAAAGAATGAAGAGTATACGGTTCTTAGGGACCGGGGAGATGGCTCAGTAGACTAAGCACTTCCCTAGCAAGCACAAGGGCCTGAGTTCAATCCCTGGTTCCGCCAAAAAAAAAAAAAGTATAAGGTTCTTTAGTAAGACACACAAAGGACAAAGGAAAGGGCTATGTTTAGACAGAAGGACTAAACACTCTCTAAAGCAATCACAAGAAGTAAAGTCTGTACTACATCTGTCTGCAGGAAATTGAAGTAAATCTTGTCTGATGGTTTTTATTTTCTCTGAAGTGGAAGGCAAAGCCATCTGCTGGAAGTGAGAAGGAATGTGGGAGAGTCAGGGATCCATAAAGAGCAGAGGTTTAAACAGTTGTCTGGTCAGATTTCTGTGGGATGCCTCTTTCTTGTTTTATGATCAGTCCCTACTCCCTTTCCCTTTTCTATATACCCATATTTAATTAGGTTTTTTTTTTTTAAATAAAATGACTGCTTGAGCAATTTCTCTGGTTTATTAGACTCAGAATATCAAATTCAAGTTGATAATAATGTACTATCACATTAATAATCATCTCTGATGCTTCCTATTGGCTCCCCTATTAAAACTCAAAAACAAGATTCATGTACTGTCTAACATGATGAACTGTAAGATCACCCACTATGCTCACAGGTAAGCAATCATTCATTATATTCATGAATTTCAGCTCCATGTATCCAGAAGACACCACTAGGACTGTGGTGCTGTCTGCAGAACAGCCTTCATGATGCTTCCTTCCCATTCCTGTGTACCCTGTCACTCCCACTGTGATCTGGCATCTCTCCCACTATAAGAAGAGAAGTCTGTTTCCCAGTCCTCACAATCCAGGCTGAACCTGTGACAGACTCTGATTACTGAACTCACAGAATGATGGCCAGTAACTTCCTAACCAACAGTTCAAGAACCTTTGCAGCTTCTACTTGTGCCTCTCAGAATGTGGTACTGTGACATGAGAAAGCTGGAGGTAGCGTCCAACACCATAAGGAGAAAAGGCTCTGCCAACAGTCAGTACCAGCTACACAGTTTGAATCGGGAAGCCTCTTTTGAATCTGCAAGTAACTACAGCCACATGAGCCGTCCCAAGTGTGACGAGGAAAAGAACTACTTGAGCCCAGCTGAAACTGTCAATCCAAAGGCTGACCAGTGAATGAGAACTAATTACATTATAGAGTGATGGATGGACAGATAGACAGATAGATAAACGAAGTTCTGGTGTTCTTATTGTACAATGAGATGAACAGATATAATGATATTATGCTATACATTTCAAAAAAGCGAGAACAAAGGATCTTAATCACCACAAAGAGCAAATGTTTGAGGGGATAAATATATTCATGCTTATATAAATGTACAATGTACACTTACATGAAAAAATTGTATATATATTAAAAGTAAAAAAATTTTAAATGCCAATCACAGAATTATAAGCACAAAAAATTGTTTTGTTTTATAGGGGTTTTTTTGTATTTTAGGGAAGGGTCTCTGGGGTGTTCAGGGTCTCACTATGAGATCAGACTCGTAGTGATCCATCTGTTTACAGCCTCCCAAGAGCTGAGATTACAGGCGCATGCCACCACATCCAGTCTCAAAAAATTATTTTAAACCACAAATTTTAAAACAGTGACCTAATTCCCAGTACCAAAAAACCCAAAAAAATCCAATGACCTGTATTTTAATATCTCTCTTCTATTTTAAAAATACTAGGGCTGCGGAGATGGCTCAGTGGAATAAGCACTTCCCTGGCAAGCATAAGGGCCTAAGTTCAATCCCTGGTTCCGTCAAAAAATAAAAATAAAAATTACTGACAACATAAATGGTATTTTTCTTATTAAAAAATGATAATAATTTTTACTTTTACTACTTTACATTTGAATTTAAAGCTTTGTTAAAAAAAAATTACCAGAGTTGCGGTCTTAAGATTCAGTAATACACTCATGTATTAATCATCTAGTATACACTAGGACCAGACACTGACCACATGGTCCTATCAATGAACATGACATACAAATCCCTCTTCTCATAGAAAATTTACAAACTGGAGAGTTGATAATTCAATTCTAAAACACATTATCTTCTTACACACTCATACTATTATATCCATAATTTCAAGGGAAGAATACATAAAGAAAAATACATAGAGATTATTCTGATAAGCACTCTTACCCTCATGCCAAGTACCAAGAATCCAATCTCTTCCATTAATGGGTACTTGCTGACCTGTTGCTGAATCTTCTCAGATGAGGCAAAAGGATCATAGCTCTTTCGCCCTATCTTTACATCCATTATGCAAGGCTTAGTAAATTTATGGGTAACATCTTCCAGTTTTAGGTATAAATCTGTTATTAAACAAAAATCTTAATTAGTGAAAAGCAAACATACGACTACTCAAGTAACTGTCAGGGGAAAATATTTTTATATGTAGGATAAAATATTTTTATATATAGGATATCTTAGAAAATTAAAATAAATCTAGTCAACAACTAACTACCTTAAAAAGATAGAATAACAAGTTTAACAAGTATAAATATTACAAAGAAATTTTTAAAGGATGTAAGTTAAATATATTCAACCATAAGAGAAACATACATAGTAGATATAAAGCTTCTATAGGGATTAAAAAGGAAATGAATGAGCTTATTTCAAAAATTATTCCACATTACATTCATCCCCCTTTGGATAAAATTTATGTCATCAATGTCCCAACAAAAAATGTAAATATTTTAAAAGTTTATTCTCCATTTAAAACTAGAAATAGGAGTAAGTCTCTCCCACGGAGCATACAATAGAAGTACAGGTACTTCTAGATATCGGAAATCAATCCAAGTGATTATCTTTGCCAAATATAGATTCTGTTCTTACTAGTTCCAAAGAGAAAACAAATACCTTGCTTTTAAGAACAGAGGGATTTCCCAAACACTGATCTGTAAATCTCTTTGGTTTCCTGCAGACATCTTCCCTCAGAAAAATGGAGATTCACATGTAATATTATAAAAGCCCCATTATCATACACATATGAATTCCTTACAGTTTTGAGCTCGACAGCAAGGATTGGGTCCAATCATGGAAGGAAAAAATTATTCTCCCTCTCATGGGTAAAATAATCTCAAAAGATGCAAATGAAACCATGATTCAAGAAGTTTTAGGCCCTCAGATTTAAGAGGCATAAATCTCCTTCAAAGAATGAGATTAAAAGGTAAGTTTTTAATCCTTTAAAAGATAGAAGAGTTTTGACTATATAGGTAAGCCCAAATATGACCCAAAAGAAAAAAAAAAAAAAGCACAGTCTAAGAGCAGTCCTGACATACAAGAAGGTGCTCGTCACTCTTCCAACAGACATCATCAAGAGAAAAAAGAACACAAAAAGTCTGGACACAGACAAGACATGTGGCAGACACTAAAAGGCCCTAGGAAAAGCAAGAACACCAACAAAGGAGCAAGAACTCGACCCTGTCTCTGTGTTTTAAAAGATAAGTGCAGGATGGGAAGCAAGCAGCATGATTCCCATCGGGTTCTCTGCTCTCCAATCAACCTGAGCAAAAAGCCAACACATCCACACTTTCTCTACAGCTACCCAGGAATTCGAGCAACAAGACATGTATTCGGAGAATCAAAAAATGACTGAAGATTCTAACACAGAAGATACTTGTCCTTCACAAGTTAAAACAAGACTCCGAAGTTCCTACTGAGGTGAGGATGTATATAAAAGGACAAAGATGGGAATCAGCAGCTGTATCTCAGTGTAAGGTTATTTTCAATTTGTCAAGTTTGGTAGTGATGAAAAACACCATGAAGAGCTTCTTGACGCTATGACAGAAGCTAAAGCTACACTTCATAGATCTGAATACAGAAACTTCCATCTTTCCTTCCTCCTCTTGTAAAGGAGGAAAATACAAATGCAAATTCTATGTATGGTAGGAATATAACTGAGTGCCCTCCCCTGTCGTGCTGCCCAGTGGAACTCTAGACTTACCTTGCTCACCCTACAATAACTTGAGTCATTTCTATAGTAAATAAGACTAAATACTATATTCACTTCTTGACATTTATTCTGACTAGACAAATTTGTTTTTCTTTATCTTACTTTCAGGTTCTTGCTATGTTTCATATAATTGAGGTTACCAAATAATTCTTAGATTAGTTTATGCCTAAATTTATGACCTTATCTCTGAAAACTAATAAACATGGACTTTGATAGGGCTTGGTTTCTAGTTCCGATCCTATCTTGGGTTCAAATGCACAGCCCTTGATTTTTATAAGACACTCCTGTGTACTCACTGTAATGAAGTCTTGTTTAATCAAGCCCAAGTCTGTTACTAGACTGTGCACCCAAGGAATCTTAACCAAAATGGTAACAGTTTAAAAGTCATTGCTTTGGAAGCAGAGAAAAAAGTTCAGATCTCAGCTCTACCTTTGTTAGCCAGTGACCTGACCTCGGTAGCACTTCTATAGTCTCAATTTTATGTAAAACAAAAATAATCACAGATAGTACTGTGGAGTTCACATGAGGACTAACTGAGACACTGCACAGCAAAGTGTCAGTAACAGCACCCAAAATGGACATTAAAATAGTCCCCCCCAAAAAAACTTGTATATGCTCAATATATAATTACTGTGCAAGTCACTCCTCTGGGAATACACATATATAAGACAAAAACCAAGAGTTGCATTTTAAGAGTAGAAATAGGATTTTATTTAGTATAATGCCTGTACATATCTGGTACTCACTGAGCATTTATTATCCATCCAGTGCACATGAGTGTTAAACATACACACCGTGGATAACCATCAAAATTTGCCAACCACATTAGGTCACTGATGGGTCCAAGTTGGAGTTCAATATTCAGTATAAATAAAAAATTCATAAGATGTTTCTCTGGAGTCCACCTTTCCAAGTAAAATAATTTGATAACCACAAAATAAAAAGATACAGTAACAACCCAATTAGGTATTTGAGAACGGGTATTCTCCAACCCTGGGGTTAATATCAGTTAAATATTAATAAAAATATCTATTATATGTTATCTTTATCACAAGTCAAAAACTAAGTATTCTGACTGCAAAACATACTCAATCTGATCCTAACCTCAAGCAAGCCTCATGTCACACTGTGTGTCCCAAATCAAGTCACTTTTCTATCCAGAGATTACTATTTCATACTTCCTTCTGCAAATACTCCCAGTTATTTGTTTATTAACTCTGAAAATTTAGATTAGTTAAAATAAAAGATGGCAAGGATTACTGCAGTTTTAAAAGTGAGGTTAATGATGAAAAATGATGACAACAAGAAAATGTATCCCCCAAAGCCTGATGGGCTAAAAATAAGATTCATATGTTCTACCTCTAATAGTTTAGGTTCACTGTGACTAAGACCAAAAATACAAATTAGACTACATTAATATGACACTTGAAGCATAGGATATGATTACATTTGAAGATGCAGTTTGCAAATACAGCATTTTGAGTATCAAAAATAGCTTATTTTTCATATGTAAGCATGTATGTATAAATAATAAAGAGCACAAATAACTAGATTTATTTTTTAAACTCTGGAAACTCCTTAATCAATTTACAAAGCCAGTGTTTCAGAGACCCAAGGCCTGGCATCTGTAAGGCTCAGATCTAAATGAGGTAACCTCTAAAGCTTGCTGCTGGTAGGTAAATGCATAACAAAAGGCCATGGGCTCCTCATGAATATGTGGTGTTTATTTCAAGAACTCATAGTAATTAGAAATATAGTTAAAGAGGCTATGATCGACACTCTAACATTTGTCCATTAATTCATTTAAAAACTGTATATACAATTTCTATGATTTTTAAAAAGATTTTTTGAGATAAAGACCATTAAAATACATATCAGATACTATAATCCAAAATATAATTTTATGCTGTTACAAGACTAGTAAGATTTCTCACTGATTTTACTAATGACATTGTTAACATGCTCAAAATATTTATATACTTTCATGATATTGGTGATAGTATACAAGGTTACTCTGAATGAAGAAAACTTTTCTACATTATATATGATTATCTTAAATATAAGGCTTTGAAATATATTATGTGTAAAAGCTTCCTATAGCAAATTTTCTACTTGGAAAAATTTTCTACTTGGAGGATTACAGGATTACTTGGGAGGCTGAGGCAGGAAGATTAGTGTGAGTTCGAGGCCAGTCTGGGCTACAAAGTGAGTTGAAGACCAGCCTGAACTGCAATAGTGAGACCCTATCTCAAAAAGCCAAATTTTCTACTTGTAGAATAGACTTGATGTTTTAAGAAAGACAGAAAGTTCTGCAGAATCAAAGGCAGAAAAATAGAAATATCTGAACCAGGGAAAGAAAAAAGAAACCCAGTGAACAGATAAATACTAAAGATGAAATACTCTACTGAAAGTAAGACAAGAGAGAGGATAAAGAATTGCAAGATAATTTATTTAAATCTTCCTAATGAATATTAATAATTCCATAAATTATGAAAATTTAGGTTCCAAGTTTCAGTAAGCTTTTTTTAAAAAACATTTTTTAAATCTTTCATTTATTTGGTACAAGGTCTCACTACACTGCTCGGATTCGTAGTGATCCTCCTGTCTCAGCCTCCCCAGCACTGGGATCATGAATGTGTGACACCACACTCAGGTTTGGTGGCAGGCTCAGCATGCCCGGGGTTCCAGGGCAACATGGCATGCAGTACCAGGAGTTGAACCTGGGTCTTTGCGCTCACCAGGCAGGCACTTACATCACTGAGCTATCTCCCCAGTCCAATAAGGTTTTTTTTGACCACTGTGTCTGTACAAAGTACAAGTGCTATTTGCCACTGTCTTCATTTCTAAATCTCCCAACAAAAGAAGAAATTTCCAGCCAGATGGGTAATAAATGCTCCACTATAAAGCCAAATGCAAGAGAGAAAATCTTCTGTACCAGTCATTAGTCATTTCTGAGAACAAAAGTTGAAAAAAGAATTATAAGGAGAGATGTGAGCCCAATAAATGGGCAAAGGGAGCGGGAGGGAAAGACCTAAATGTCAGTTTGTTCTACTACCTGCTTCTTGAAACTTGACTAGTAGCTAGATGAAGACACCTACCCACCAGGGCAAAGATCATGCCATACCCGACAGCTCTCAATTTACTCAACCGTACTTGACTGTTACAGATTTCAACAACAAATTCTTGGCATTACTTTTACCAGGCTCCTACATGTTTACACAAGCATATAAACAAGATTTATTACATACATTTTCAAACAAAATTGCCAAAAATGTTAATGTTAAACCTACAGTAATCTGTGTACAACTCTGTAAATATACTGAAAACTACTGGGCTGCTTGCTTTTATAATGGGTGTGTTTTATGATATGTAAATTACACCTCGCACTGTCATAAAAAAAGAAAATCTTTATTTGTAAAGATATTCTTAAGCTTCAAGTTGCTAGAGAATAACTTTGTTGAGCAAGTAAGCTTTTGTGTTTTACTATCTTTAGTATTTTACTACTTTGGCTTATAGATTTGTAAAATTCTTCCCTGAGCATATAAAATGCCTAAAACATGAAATATATTGATACAAATTATAGTATTCTACTAAAATTTAATAAAGTATGTTTTCATGGTCAGATGAGCTACACATAGGTTTGCCACCTTATAGTTATTTCATTTACAATCAAAAGGGTAACAACAAAAAAGTGATCACATGATGCAGCTAGTAAAAACAAACCTAAACAATCTGCTTTCTACAATTTCGTCCATCTTCTTCCAAAGAAAATAAAGTAGGAAAAGACAGAAAAATCCCAAGACAACTGTTAGCATTACTGATAACCTGTCCCTCATTTGCTGCCTAGTATTTTCCTCTCTTTATCTTCTCAACACAATAGCACAAATATTTCTAGTTATAATCAACTAAAAGAGAATTCATAAGATATTTTTATATGATATGCAGAATGTAGAACATATGCAAATTTATACAGTATTAAGCTAAAAAAAATTACTGCGTTAGTGAAGTTGACAAAACATTTAAACAACCAAAGTAAAAGCTAAGTATGTCATTTGGGAAGTTAATGTAAATGCAACACGCTGATCTGAAGCATACATGCATCCATATACTTGGGACTGAAAGATCTTTAAGTAAAAAGAAGGAACAGAGAATGAATGCTTAGTCCAAAAATACGAACTGCACAATGCTACAAAATTTGAAACTTTTGGATAACCCACATTGACATCAAAAAGGGAAAATTCCACACTTGACTTCACAGGACAGATCACCATCAAATCCAGGTATACTAAAATTACTATAAAAACTATCTGCATGCAATAAGGTACATATAAAACTAGAATGAGTTTCATGATTACCTCTGGCTGCTATGACTAGGATATCTTATTATGTACATGCAAATATTCCAAAATCTGAAAACAGTCCTAAACCTGAAACACTTCTGTCTCCAGCATTTGAGACATCATAATCACCTATTAATGAAATTGACACACTGACTCAGAGTCAAAGGAAAACAAGAAGGAACAAGCTCAAACTGGAGTCCTGTTCTACCCCTCACACTGAGATTTAGTCTACATGAGAAAATCGTGAGGCTTTATTCAACAAAAATTTTCACTAAACTCCAACATAGATTGTGTTTAACAAGGCTACAGGTTACACGTAAACATATTCAAGTTGGAAACCTCTTCCTTCACCAGTCACCTTTGTCAATGATTAGGTAGGCAGGCTGCTTATTCAAATTCTGACTACTCTGGCAAAAGCTTTCAAGAGGTAAATACTGCTTCAAGTATTAACTAATGTTAAGGAAAAGAATTCTCCTTTAACATATATCATATTGTCATCTATGAAACTTCCCAGGGTTTTTCAAGATTGCAATGTAAAGCCTGGAAGCAAGAGACAAAGAGGTACAATATGACACACCAGAAAATCAGAAGTTACACAGAGAAAACAGTTTTGGTATCTTTTTATTACTCAAATAGGCAAAAAAAAACTATACAAATAGGAAAGAACATTAAATGTACACAGTCTTAATACTGTATACTTCTGTAGTAGCTCTATATGCTTACATGCTTTTATTCAACAATAAGAGATGAGTCATATATATATATATATATATATATATATATACCATTTAATAAAATGGTTTAAAAAAGCAAAGGTTAGTAGAAAAGGCTTTGAGAGAAATATATATGTCACATGTTTTATATTATATACTATTAATTTTTTTATAATGCTTTAGGAAGCCAATATCATGAATTAAAACTAAAAGATGTACTTTAAAGAAAATATTACCATTTGGTGCAGTGGGTGGTGACCAGATACCATAATATTTTGGCAAATATTTTCGTAGTTCTAGAAGAATACCATCACTACAATCAGCAGCATAAACCTGAATCAAAGAGAAATATAACACTTGTTATTGTTTTATAATACTTTCAAACTGCCCTACACATCTCAAATAAAACACAGTAACAATGAATCATAATTTATCTAGTATACATTCTAACTGGAAGTATATTCCAATTTGGAATATGCAAAAAAGATCATTGTGTATCTCCAATCAAAACTACCTATTATTGCCATGCATGGTGATACACATATAATCCCAGCACTCAGAAGGCTGAGTGAAGAGAATTGCTATGAGTTTCAGGCCTGCCTGGGCTACAAAGTCAGTCAAGGCTAGCCTGAAATACTACACAGCGAAATCATGACTCAAAAAGACAGAAGAAAAGAAAAAGGGAAACAGAGCCTATTCTACTTGGTTATCAGATTCTACACTTTCACTATCATCGAATTACCTTATAACTATGTAAACTGGAAATAAATGATACCAAATATAAAATAATTACTTTTGTTTGGAGTACCAGTAATTGAAGTCAGGACCTTATGCTTGTCAGGCAGAAGCTGCACCACTGAGCTATATCCCCAGCCCCTACAAAATATTGGGGGCGGGGGTGTACTAGGGATGGAACTCAGGACTTTGCACTTGCCAGGCACGTGTTTATGCCACTGAGCTAGAGCCTCAGCTATAAAATAATTCTTGTCCACAAACACACAAATAAATTCTGACCACAGCAGGTTCAGTTAACTTCCAGCCACACCAAAGGGGAGAGAGAATTTAGTGTCCACAAATTCTTTCAACTTCCTTTTATTCTACATAATTTGTGCTTCTTCAATTTCCCTCTTAAGCTAGTTTTAACAGGTAAATCCTGTGGAGCCTTCCAAGAGCAGTACCCTGACCTGATACAAATTATTCAACAAAATAAATAAGGATAAGTTCTTTATCTCATTTTATGAACCCCAAGAAACTATATCTGAAGTAGATATGGACACTGTAATATGAAGAAAACAATAGTTCAATCACATGCTCACAGATGGAAAAAAAGTATTAAGCAAAATCAAAAAGCAAAGACAGTTTTTAATCTGCAAATAAAAGGTAGTAACAGTATAGAAATTATAAATTATCACATTAACTAATGAAAACTCATAATCATTTTGATGGATACAGAAAAGATAGCTAAAAAATATTAAATACCTATCCATTTCTGCTTTAAATTGATTATTAAAAGAAAAACAACATAGACCCTAAGCACTTCCTGCCCCTGCCCCCAGCCAAGGCCACACACCTCCCCCAAGAGACATCTCCCAGTCAGCTGCACCCAGGGCCCACATATAGCGGGAGGCAGTAGCAGGAGAACAAAGAGCAGGAGAGGATGAGGTGAACATCGGCCTCCCCAGGGCCCTCCTAACCAGCTTTGTCTGGTTATCACCTGCCTTCCCCAGGGACTGCACTAGCTGCACTCCTTGTCCCTTCAGGCCTAGGAATGGTGTCATGGTTTAGATTTCCAGTGCATTCCTAAGCCAGGCATTAAAAGCATGGCCTCTAGGTTGGCACTGCTGGGAGGTGGGGGGACTTCAGGCAAGACCCACCAAGAGGCCCTGGATCACTGGGACATCTGAAGAGGAGATTGGCAGGCCAGTCTCCCTGTCTCTCATTTGCTGTACCTGGTCATAAGGTGAACAAATGCCCTCTGCCACACACACCTGCTGTGATGCTGTGGCATCACAACCCCAACAGTAACAGTCAACTGGCCACAGACTGAACCCTCAAATTATGGGCCAAAATGAACCTCTCCTCTTTAAATTGATTATCGCCAAGTACTTTGTTACAGTAATAGAAAACTGACCAACACAGAAACTTGGTAATGAGAAATGGGGTTGTTGCTGTGATTATAAATGAATCAACATGGAAGCACCTTTGTTGAAGGAGACAACTACAACAAAACCAAAAATGTTTTAAGCAGGACTTAACAGGTAGTTCTGGTAGGACACCAGAATGCTGATGTGTGAATAGCAAAGGCTATGGCGATGAGGTTAGACTAATGAAGACTCCCTTGCAAACTGGACTGCAAGCCACCCTTGTTACATCATTACCCAAAAAAGAAAAAAAAGACTCCATTACACTTATGCCTTTGGATTCTATTAGACTAACCTTAATGTGATAGACGCATTTATCTGGCGGGGAAAATTTCAAGGCAGCAAAGCACTCAGGCTGCAGAATGAGTATCAAATGCCATTTTCAGCCCAATCAGTACTGAGGCCACAGGTTGTCTATGCCCTTGGGTGCCCCTCTCCTGCCAGTGTATCCCCAGACAAGAACCATAGGATTTAATGTAAATCTCAGTCTTCTTCAATCTAATCTTCCTATCTGTTTTCCCATTTATCTCTTTTGGAATATGAATACTTATCTTCTGCCACTGTATCTTGGAAGAAATTTTTTTTTAATTTTTACAGTTTTTCACAGTTAATAGTTTCTTATACATTTCAGAGGAGACTTTTTAACTGTTTAAGTGGTGATGAAACAGTTGAGGATTCTAAGGACTCTAAGAGATGGACTAAATGCATTCTGCACTCTAAGATGGATATGTACTTTGGGAAATAAGGGTAGAAAGCTACAGATTGAATCCTACAGACCACATGTTGCAATCTTGGCATGCAGCTCAGCACTATGAGAAGGGAACAGCTGCGTGTGAGGTCTTAGTGCCCTGTGCCTCCTGAAGTGCATTACGAGAGCTGCCCTTCCCTTTCCTCTTCTGCACCTTCCATCACACACTCCCACCACGAGGCGCTGACTCATCACACTGGCCTAAGTGAATGGGGCCCACTGGCCACAGGGGTGCCCTCTGAAACTGTTAGCCAAAATGAACCTTTTCTCTTTGAAAGCCAATTACTGCAGGTATTTGTTACAGATAACAGAAAACTAACACAAAATGTATAACTTTATCTCCAGCCAACTGTCTCGAGTCTTAACTACACTTTTGTAAACCATCTCTTCATTAAACTGCCAGAGTGCAACACTTATTTCTTGACAGAACCTTGACTCATAGAGGACAATTTCCTAACCTAAGAAAAAATACCTACCACAAACCTAGTCAAATTTAATGCAGAAATTTTACAAAGAATTACCGGAACTGAGTTAAAGGACACCATCATTGCTCCTGCTTAGTACTGAATGAGAGGTCCTTAACAAAAAAATATGGGCTCAAAACAGTCACAGAAACTTTAGAATCACAAAAGATACAACTGCTGGACATGGCTGCACATGCCACAATCCCAGCACTTGGGAGGCTGAGGCAGGAGGACCAGCCTGAGTTCAAGGCCAGCCTGTGCTACACAGTAAGACCCTGTCTCAAAAAACTAGACAATAAAATGGTCTAAAAGGAAAGGCCCAAAGTCTCTTAGACACAAACAACTGAAAACAAGTTCAGAAATATGCAAATATCTATTCCATTTTTATATATTAGAAATCATTGTAAAAAATAATTTAAAAATACTGTAAGCCATGAAAACAAAAAATAAGGTACTAAGTACAAACCCAAATGATTATATAGATGACTTTTACAGCATAAAAACACATCTTCAAAAGAGATACGGTACAGCCTGAGAATGTAGGTCAGTGGGCAGTACCTGTTGTGCATGTGCAAGGTGCCGGGGTTAAGTCAGCGCCCGGGGAAAGAAAACAGTGTGTGACAGTTCAAGGCACCAACGCTGATGCCAGACTGCCTACTTTCAAATCCTGTGGCTACCATTCACTACTCAGATGATTTTGCTCAAATTATTTGAACTAATTATGCCTTAATGAGCATATCTATAAAATGAAATAACAATAGAGTCCATAGATTGTTGTAAGGATTAAATATTGGTGAAGAATCTACACAGGTACCTGGCACACAGCATTACAGAAATGCTAAATAAAATATAGAGATAAATGCTATGGAAAAAACACTCATATAGTAAATAATACCAATTCTTTTTAAATAGTTCATTTATTTTGACAAAAAAATCCTCCAAGAGAAAAAGGATTAAAGAATAAAAGTAAAAAATTTATAATAAATGAGATGTATTTCTGATCAATTAGATTTCATAAAAATAGAAAAAGATAATATTTAGTAAACCAAAAGACAATTCAGGAGCACCTACCAACATTCAGTGTTCAATTCAGTTTCACATGCTAAAATCTAGTCTGTAAAAATCTTATGTATACATAAAAATTCTTATTGAATATCACTGCTACATTGTTTTTTTTTTTAATTTTATTTATTTGTGTGTGGGGGGAAGCTCAGCCCACCAGGGGGCGGGGCTGGTGCTGGCATGTGGTGCTGGGGGATTGAACCGTGGTCCCTGTGCTTTGCCAAGCTTGTTCTAAGTAGGTGCTTTAGACCACTGAGCCATCTCACCAGCCCCTGCTACATTGTTTTTAGCGACAATAATTCTGCCTCCATTTATACAGTTAATTCATCCACTCAACTATTATGATCTACTAAAGTAAATGAAGTACAAGTGCAAGTAGACATGGTATATTATTAAAGCAAAAAAAAAAAAAAAAATTAGTACCTATATGTAATTTGTGATGGTAAGAAAATTGTATTTGACAGACACATCCCCCAAATATCTGAAAAGCTACCTCCTAAACTGTTACAAATATTTATTTCCATGGAAAGATATTAAGAAAAACAGTATTTAAGAATAAAATTTTTATTCTAAAATCACTATTTAAAATTTTTAATGACGAAATAGCAAGATCAGGGTTATTAAGTAATGGGTAGAATACGCCATGGCATACTCAATAAATGTTATTTTTTGGTATTATGAAATCACTAAAAGTCACACAAAAATTATGTGATGAAAAAAAGTTAGTTTACCTGCCTGAACTCCTGACCTGTTGCACTGCACACTGCCTTTCTAACCCGCAAGGAACCTGGGGAGCCCTGATGCGGACCTGGAAGGCCACCCACAGGCCAAGGTTGAGGCTTGGTCTCCAGGCTGCCATCACTTGGGGGCAGACCTGGCAGGAGGTGCGCAGGTCCACCCTTCAAAGGGCTGTGCAAT